AGAGAAATAGAGGAGAGAGAGAGAATAGAGAGAGAGAGAGTGAGGAGTGACAGAGTGAGATAAAAAGAGAGAGAGGAGAGAGAGAGAGAGAGAGAGAGAGAGAGAGAGAGAGAGAGAGAGAGAGAGAGAGAGAGAGAGAGAGAGAGAGAGAGAGAGAGAGAGAGAGAGAGAGAGAGAGATAGAGAGAGAGAGAGAGAAATAGAGAGAGAGAGAAATAGAGAGAGAGAGAGAAATAGAGAGAGAGAGAAATAGAGAGAGAGAGAAATAGAGAGAGAGAGAAATAGAGAGAGAGAGAAACACAGAGAGAGAGAGAAAACAGAGAGAGAGAGAGAGAGAGAGAAACAGAGAGACAGAGAGAAACAGAGAGAGACAGAGAGACAGAGAGAAACAGAGAGACAGAGAGAAACAGAGAGACAGAGAGAAACAGAGAGAGAGAGAGAGAGAAACAGAGAGAGAGAGAGAAACAGAGAGAGAGAGAGAAACAGAGAGAGAGAGAGAAGGACAGAGAGAGAGAGAAAGAGAGAGAGAGAGAGAGAGAGAAACAGAGAGAGAGAGAGAGGAGAGAAACAGAGAGAGAGAGATATATATATATATATATATATATATATATATATATATATATATATATATATATATATACTAGAGAGGAGAGAGAGAGAGAGAGAGAGAGAGAGAGAGAGAGAGAGAGAGAGAGAGAGAGAGAGAGAGAGAGAGAGAGAGAGAGAGAGAGAGAGAGAGAGAGAGAGAGAGAGAGAGAGAGAGAGAGAGAGAGAAAGAGAAGAGAGAGAGAGAGAGAGAGAGAAAGAGAGAGAGAGAAACAGCTCTTGACTAAAAAAAGAGATAGGAAGACCCAAACAAATATGATATGAAGAGCCAGCAACACTTCATAATTCTCTAGACATTCTTTACTGTCTTTTGTGCTTGTACTTTTCATATTATAGGCACATACACATTTATATACATTTCACATTTGAATAAACACCAAACAGAAGAACAAAAATAAATTATACAATATTCTGTGAAATTATTGTCCATAAAAACTTATTCAGTTAAAAATGGAGATATGCTGGCTTCTTGACTGAATACGGCAGGTAAGAATATTGCTTATGTTTAGCCCATGTTATAATGTAGCAATATAAATGTCAAAAAAATCAAATACTGTAGTGCCTCACTTACAGTTTCTTGAAGTTTTCTTGCAAGTTATATTATCACCAGTAAGTTCTTAATATGGGTCACAATTTATCTTAAACTGACATGGCAAGGCCACATAGTATTTTTTCATTAGATCAGTCCACTTAGTGAAGTACCTTTAAACAGTAAAACCTTAAAAATAGCTTTGAAGTACCCAACTTGTGCAGGAATTCTGACAGCACTGTCACAACTGCCTAAAAGGCCTCTATATGATATATTCTATTCAGAGATGAATAGAGTATATTATGCAAGAATAAATAAATGCAGAAAACTTGCACACACCAAAAGCCACTTCATATCACTTGAGTTTGGGAAAAAGACACTGGATTATAGCAGCCTCCTGTGAGCAATTTCATATTATATAGAATCATAATATATTAAAGGGTACTTCAGCATTCATCTTTCTATTTGATTATCATTCATGGAAAGCTTAATATCTCAGAAAAAAATATAGGTATGACATACAGGCACATAATATTTTCATTGATCTTCATAAACTTGTACACACAGAGATATACATTATACAACCATTTATCACATATCAATAATTGAATGTCAGCCACTATTACTAGCCAGCAGGTCAAAATAACAAAAAAAAGTGCAGCCATAGATTACTGACAGGTGAGGTTGGGAACATTATCATAAGAGTCAGTATTATCTTGTTTTTCTTTTTTCCAGCTACTGTTATTATTCAAACAAACTAGAACACTAATGCCATTGTCATAGCTCAACTATATGATTATCTTTTAACAAAACAATGTCAAACACAGCACTAAGCAACATTGCTTAATATTTATATGAAAATGTGAGTCTGCCCTGTATGAAAAGAACATTCGTATCATACACATATTCACTTGTATAATTTGTCTTCATTGTCAAGGTCACTTATATATCTATCATTCACATCATTTTCTCCTTAATGACTTCAAAACACTTGGGGTTGAATACAATGGAAAGAAATACTTAATACTAAGCACAATTACAAGCATGCACTAAAATCCTGAAAGAACTTCATAATCTCCATATGGGGAATATTTGACTTAAAAAGAGCTAACAAAAAGCAAAGGAAAATAACACTGAATGGATTTTTTCTGAAAATAACATGAGGACTCAACTCACATTATACAATGAAAAGCTGGAATGTGCCAAACACAGCACCTGATATGCAAATAACCTATCATATATACTGATATTCTACAAATCTTCAATAAATAAATGCTCTCCAGTTTTAAATTATGATAGAATCTAATAAGATTACTTTTTTTTTTCCTTTTCTTTTAAAACCCTGGCTCTTCAATCATATACTTTA